CACTTAAGACTTTCTTGTAATACTTTTTTTTTTCATTTTTACTACTATATTAGACCTTAATCACTACATCAAACAGTTCTCTATAATTTGCATAGCATATTTACATATACATTACACTCCAAGTATGATTTGTACATTGAAGAGAGCCAAATAGCTTGTTTTATAAATTTGTGAAAAAAAAAATCCATCTGCATCATTTTCATTTGAGTTACATGCATTTACTGTAAATTATGTTTCTGGAAAATACATGTATTTATCAAGTTTTAACTTATTGTTTTACTAATTGCAACCTGAGCTGATAAAAGGATCAGTATCGCTAAATCACCTTTAAAAAAATGGACTTGTTTGTGAGCACAGAATTAAGCTGTTCTTTTTTACTTAATTCCCTGAATCTTTGCTTTGCTTCTGGAGGATTTTTCTTCTGTACACAATCAAAAGAATAACTTTTCTGACTCTTATTCACATCTGAATTATCTGATACTGCAAAGGTTGTAATTGATGGTGAAATAACATTTTTGTACACAGAGGATAAGGTTTCTCTACAGCTCATATCTTTACTTGTTCCAATTTTCTCAGGTGAACCATTAATTAGGTCAGAGGTGCAATTTTTTAAACTATTGCTTACCGAGCTACTCACTTCTACTGTTGAATTAAAAGTACTGGTATTTTTACTGATTTTATCTGAAGTGTTCCTCATAGATGATGTATAACTTAAACTATCAAATGGAGTACTGGTGGCTTTAGGACATAATCCAGTATAGTTTTCTTTGCTAATGTCATCTTTATCATCATAATCAAACTTAATATGCTTGTTTTCATATTTCTTTATTCCTCTTATTGCCATGAATCGAGGATGAAAGGGCAGTGTTTCTCTAGTGGTTTTTGTTTCTTTTTCCAAGTTATTTCCTGAAGACATCTGTAAAATTTTGACTGAACTCTCATTATGTGCATTGATACTTGGCTCAATTTCTAAGCTCTTCTTGCTCTTTCTCTTACGTTTTCTTTTATGCATTTTCTTTTCCAAAAATTCATATTCTTTTTCTTCCTCATTGGTTTTGGTTTCACAATCCTCAGACTTACTGGGTGTAATATTTTTCATTTCTTCCTGAGTGGTATCTTCATTTAATTCTTTAGCTGAAGAAATATCTTTCGTTCTTGCCTCATTTTCTTTCTTGTTTTTTGTTATTTCAATTCCTTCCTCACTTATCTTCTGATCATTAGTATTATCTTCAATGTAAGCAGTATCAGTCCTATACACATTGAAGACAGGTGTTTTATTTGTTTCTAGTTCCTGGACATTTTCTGTTGAACATTTAAAATGTTTTCGCTGTTTTTTTATAAACTTGGACTCAAGAGAAACTCCTTCCATTTCATTTTCATCTTTATCATGTTTTCTTTTCTTTTTCTTGTGTTTATGGTGCTTTGGTCCATTATTTTCTAACAAAACATCAACTTCTTGGCTGGGAATATATGCACAAAGTTGTTCAGTTTTAGATGATGGTTCAGAACACAAATTTTCTGTTGCAGGAACAACTCTAGGAAAAATAAGAGAAAGAATACTATATCAAATACTGTGAAATATTAAACTCACAACACCTACTTGTACATATCTAATTTATACAACAGGGAATAAGTTGCCTAGTATTGCATCACACTTTGAAATCCAAATTGGCTCTATTTGTGATTCAATCTTATCTAGCTAAATACAGTGTAAAACATTTTTATTATAGCCAATGCACAACTTAATTTATCCATAACTTGTATGATTTCTACATAGTTTCTAGGTAAGTAATGTTTAGTTTGATCATAACATTGCTGTATAAAAAAACACGTTTTAAGTCTAAATTATGGCCTAATTTTTCTTTTTCAATTTTAGAATAAGGTCTGATATATATTATGGAAAATAAAGATATATCTTGAATATCTTAGAAAAATAGATATTGTGAGTAGGCCTAGTAAGAAAAGAAATGTACAGTAGCATTTTCAAGGTTAAAAATTCATAGAAATACTAAACATTAAAATATTTTTTACACAAAACAAATGGTGTTTTGAATGTTTTTCTCACAATTCAAGACATTTTAATGTAGTACTTTTTGTTTTCTCGATTGCACATATCTGATATGTGCTGGTGCAACTTATGCACACTTTTCTAACTGCTAAGCAAAATGTATTTTGTGTAGCAATTGTTGCTATGCAAAATTTTTGAAACAAGTTATCCTCTATACATATTTTTAAGTCTTGCATATCTTGGTTCAAGCATTTCTCCCATGTAAAAGATTTTAAAATATGGAATTAAAACAACAACAAAAAACTCATTAAACCTAAATCAAATAAATTTCCAAAAATAAATGTTACTGAAGCCTATGAATAATGAATGTTATAATTAGCCATTGGAATATTGTGAATGTATATATAAAATAATTAAAAATGAAAATTAGACTTTATACACCTTTTCTACTTAAGAAAATATTTATCTTCAAATAGCACAAAGAAATAATGCAATTTTCTAAACTTCTAGCCTTGGAATGTTGTTACACTAACATAAATATCTAACTTGAATACATGTTAAATAAGACATTTATAAAGCAAGTAGATGAAAGCAGAGGTTTTACAGTTTTCTCTCTTTAAATACTGAATGTACATATACCATGACAATGATCACTAATTACAGAGAGGTGGGCAAGTAGTGGAATTTGCTAATTGGTGAATGAGCTCAACTAATTGAGTATTCTCACAAGAGATCTTAAAAAAAGAATTACAAAATATCAAAAATGTTTCGCATAATTTTCTTAAGGATAATCTGAACATTTGGCAAATCGCTAATGTCAAGACAATTCTTATGAGGTTGTCATTTTCTTTGTTTTTAAAATATACCATGATACCCAACTAACCTTTGTAAATGAAATAGATTTATAATTAAATAATGTTTTACTATCACTGATAACAGTAATAATGTTTCTATTGAAAACATATCACAACTGCAATTAAAAATCATTTAGCAGCCAGTTAATCAACTTACCTAAGTTATTTGAATACCACAGCCATAAAAATAATATCAAAAAATAAGGCCGGCTCTTGGGGTGGGCAACACAAGAATCACTAAATACATTTTAGAGAATAACAAAATATGGTTTCTAAATATTTTAAAGCAAAAATGGATGAAATAAAGCTAGAAATAACATAAAATTTACTTTAAAATTTGTGCCAAAAAATTCATTTACAAAAAATAGTTTCAAAAGCCAGAGGAAACCTGATCTTTGGGTACAATAATTTAGGATTAAGTTACTATATTGATCCTAAACTTTGTACATGAAAATGAATCATACATGCAAATTAGTACAAAACCTATAACAAGCTGAAAATTCAATTAACAGCATTCCTTGGGTTTCTCCCTACAAATTTCCACAAAACTACTATACTAAAACTACTGAATTGTTGTTGATTAAAATAAGCAAATTACTTCACGACATTTTCAAACAACTTTTTATAACCCTAAAAAAACTTCACAAGTAAAATATTTTAAATAACAACAACTAGTTCAGGCCATACCTACAGTCAGGTTAGTAATTGAATACATCTTTAATTGTTGGAAATAACATTTTTGCAAAACTTGTGTAAGAATACATGAAATATAATCAACAATGCTAATGTTCACATAAAAAAAAATATCAGAGCTCACTACATGGAGAACATATTTTAAGCATATAAAAAAACTTTAATTGTAAAACCTCTCTGGTAGGTAGTTGATTTTTTTTATGTTTGAAAAATGTTTAAAAAACAGGATCAGTTGCTTGATCTCATTGTTGTTTATTGAAAACTGAATAACACATTTACATTCATAATTTAGTACATGATTAACAGGCCAGCATGACTAAATGAATAAAGAATAATTCTTCATAATTATTTCCTCTATTGTTGGAAAGTTGCTGGTTCCACACATGCCAATACCTGTCACAACTTATACCAGGATACAAATTCAGGAAAGTGAGAGGTGTGTTGTTACAAACATACACTATAAAGAAAATCTTTATTTGTAGTATATTTAAAGCTAAAGAATGAAGTAACATAAAATATAAATTACGATATAACAATGTAAAAACAGATTTTACTCCTTATTAAACATTAAAGAATACAGTTACACAACTATAAATTAGAAATATACCTTAGTATAGAAAACAGTAACTTTACACTTTACTTAATACTAAAGAAGTCCAAGAGTTAGCAGTGGGTGATGCAAGCCAGTTGTCTTCCCTATAGTTGCAAGTTCAAGATTAGGGATGGTAGCAGATAGCTCCATCATAATTCAGAAACAAATATGATGCCATTAAGGCAGAAAGGGCAAGCAAGTTTGTTAGCAAAAGGAATTAAATCTGAGACCCTCAAGTCACAAAGCAATCCCCCCAAATCACAAGGTCATGCTAGCCCAACCTTAAAACAAACATGAATTAATAGAAAATAAAAATTAAACTTATAATACTAAAAATTGGGTTACAATAACCACAGTGAGCAGAGCACAGATAGCCCATTGTGTTACTTTGTGCTTAATAACAAACATATCTAATGACAATATTTTAATAACATGAATAATTGGAATAATCAAAAATTGTAATAATCAGAAACCTTTACTTCATTCAGTTGATTATTTTCATGAGTCATGACTAAAGCTGGGTGATAAACTTATTAATTAATGTAATCAATTACCTATGAGCATCAGTTATATCAATTATGTCACCAAAATAACCAATTAATCAAACTTAGTGTTTCTGATTAGTGTGTTTTTGATTATTTCAACTACTTACATAATGGAATATTGTCATTTCTCATTATTATTTTTGATTAATTCAATGGTGTTCTAATAAATGTTCTAAGATTAATATCTTGTACCAGACAATGACATATCAGATTCCATTAATCCATTCACTGCTGATTTGCCATACAGCATACAGTCAGTCTCCAGCAATTGAGTGTGAATGTGCCGTACATGGTGTATGGCTCGCAAAAATTCTGCTTGCATTTAGAGCAGGCACAATCAATAAGTTAAAAAATGGCTACAACAGCCATTACACCATGCAGTGACATGATACAGCACAAGTTAAAACATCATTATCCATATCAGCTGATGGTAATTATTTGTTAAATGTCATTTCTTTGTCATTATATCACCATGAACAGTACTCTCCACAAATCCATGTTAAGAATTGTATCCAAATATGCCTAAATGTAGAACAGTATAAATGGGTCACTAATGCAACTAATGTTCTAATTTTACCATTTTAAGAACATTCATATAGCCTGCACACAATCTGGTTAGTATTCTTCTGCTTGAACCAAGATAGCCACTGCTGATGCTTTGTGTAAAACAATAAGTTATGTTTATCCCTCAGTTAATGATCCATCTGATTTGGCATATACACATTCAATAATTACTCTAACCTATGGCCAACTAGGAGCCTTACAATTATGTGCACTTGAAAGGGAAAAGAACCTAATATATGGGTTACAAGTTACTTCATCCTAATAGCAACATATAACAATGAGTATTTTCCCAGATTAAAGGTAGTCATGTGACAAAGTATTTGTCAAGAAACTGGTACCTCTAAGATGATGTAGTCTGAGGTTGATGAAGGTGACATACATAGCTACAATGAAAATAATCCGATGAACTCCAGTGACAGCACCAGAAAATGCTTAACTGAGCAATGGTACTGATAAGGAGGACTATAGTAATTATAGTGTTGAAGATAGTTCAAATACAGATGCAAAACTGAAATCAGTCTCTAAAGGTGAATTCCCTACCAGTGAAGCTATATCAGATGTAACTAGTGATCAACCAATTTTTAATGAGGTTTCTTTGGGGTGTAAAGGCAACAGTTACATGGCTATTGATAATACCAAAAAACATGGAGAGAAAAAAAGAATAACAAGCATAATGACTTTTATGATGACTTTGATGTTTGGGCCTCCAAGAAAGGCACAACTGTCAAAACATTTCTATATTTTTAGTCAACAATTCAAACTGTATGTTAGAAAAATGGTAGTTTTTGAATCCCAAAGAAAGTAAACAATAAAAGAGCATTTGTTGTATAAGCTTCATGACCCACAGAAGATAACACCATATGCATCAACCAGTATTACACAACATTGAAAAGACAGAGTATTTTCAGAAAGTATATTATTTGATCCAGCTGTGGCCAAAAACTCAAAATTTAAAAGAAAGTTATCAGAGAATGTACTGGTGTACTTGAAGACATGGAATGTTTGCATAACAATTCTAAAAATAAAAATTATCCATACCACCAAACCACCTGGACATCATATAGCTCAACAACAAGAAAAGCCACACAAAATGTATAAAGAGATGACCCTTGAGGATGAACTTAATGCTATCAAGGATTTTAACAATTGAAGAATCTTAAATACAAAAATGAGAAAAGATAACAAACGAGCTAATGAAAAGCAGATCACATGCTTGGAATGGTATGAGAAAATTAATCTATACAAAAAGTGCAACATGCAAAAGACCACGTTTCATGGG